CCACGTGTGCCTACATTAAGACTGGCCAATAATGTGGCTCGAATCTTAATACAAATGGCAGGAACTCCTTTGCATCGTGCATCACTATAACGCAAAAGAAATGCACTATGCAAAGAAAGCTACAGAACTGGCGGGAAAAGCTCCTGCACGCGGGTCCTCTGTTGCAACAGAACACTCCACCGTGCAAAAGAGCTGCAATTTTGGCGGGAACATGATTTAGCGATGCCGAAGCACACTCAAACAAAAAAACCACAACTTTGGGTTGTGACACCTTGTATAGAATTTCCGGATGATTAGTGGCAATCCCATTAGTGCCCTAAAAGTACCAGTCTCTATGAGGGGAATGTGCAGTCATTGTAATAACATATTTGAATACCGTCTTTCTGCCATGAATGAGCTCCCAACCAAGAGTCAAACTGAGGCTGAAACATCATAATACCATTTTACAGACTCTCTGGATCCTGCTGCAAAAACAGCTCGTCCATCAGTGGATCCATGCCTTGGTATCAGCCGGCATGGGCAGAAGGAAGAGCCAAAAACATTTTCATTAAGTGTTTGGGCAGCCTATAATCACTTGCCTAAGGGCTCTGGAAGGAAAGACAAGCTCGCCCACAACACGGTAGACCAATTCTTACAATGGTTCTGGTTAGTGAAGCATTAAGAACCCTGAACCGTGGGATGCATCTACTTAAGTTCTAGCGTGAAGCCTGTGCGACTGCCTGCCAAGTAGAAGCTATAAGAAATGGCAACTATAGACTATGTAATGAATTTCAGGTTTCTGGCTACAGTGTTTACTGTATTTTTGCGCATATACCCCACACACGGGTATAACCCGCACCTATGTATAACCTGTGGAAAATTGCATTTTCGAAAAATAATCCATGCATAGCCCGCACCCGTGTATTCCCCACACCCCCTTGTATTCCCCACACCCCCCGGGCGAGGGGGCGCCCCTGGGCGAGAAGGAGGGCGAGGACTCCAAGCCAAGCGGTGCCTCCCTGCTAGGCCCTGGAGGCATCACTGGGTGTCCGCTACATGCCCCAGCAGGCGGCGGCTACCATGCCCCCGGGTGAGAAGGAGACGGAGGGTGAGGCCCCAACGCAGCCCCCCAGCCCGCCTGTGCCCCTGCCCCCCACCCTGGTGGTGCAGCCCGGCCCCCCCGGGCCCAGCGGGGAGGCGCTGCTGGGTGTCCACTACATGCCCCGGCAGGCGGCCCAGCGCTGCCACTGGGGCCCAGTGGGGAGCCGCCGCTTGGCTTGGAGTCGCCTGCATAGCCCACACCCTTGCATAGCCTGCACCCATCATTTTTTTTGGTAAAATCGTGCATAACCCGCAGGATATATGCATGAAACTACAGTATTTGGCTCTGGATTTAGTTGGCAAGTGAATTTGGACAGTAATTAAACCAAAAAAAAAAGCATGCGCAAATGCTCGCTTGAGGCTCTAATGTGGAGGCTCAGAGGCTAGATTGGATAAGGAAAATATGCCATGTACAAGAGCATGGAGGGGACTACATGCTAGAGCTGGGGTGGGCAAAATGGCAGATCCAGCTGGCAACCAGAGACCATTTCCCAGCAGCCGTTGCCCATGTAGCTGTGTCTGGTTTCCATGGAGACCAGCCCTAGCAGTGTTGGCAGGGTGCACAGCTGAGCGGGGAGCTGTTCCGTGGCCAGGGCTGGGATCTTGCAGCGGTGACAGCATGGTCCGGATCTGCTGCCTGCTTGTCCCTGCCCAGGGTATGCAGGCAGCAGATCACAGCTCTGCCTCAGCTCCGAACCATGCCATCACTGCCACAAGCTCCGGAGCTGCTCTCCGGCCAGCCACGCGCTCTGCCCGCATCTCCATGGAAACCCTGGCCCTGCACTGTCACCATACCACCATTGCTGGGGTCTCCATGGAAACTGGCAGCAGCAACACGGACAGGGGCTGCTGGGAAATGGAGTCCACTACAGGCCCAATTCGGCCCATGGGCCAGACTTTGCCTGTGCCTGTGCTAGAGGACAGCCATGCCCATGCTGAGTGAGAACACCCACACCCCATCTACACTGCACCTCCCACTTGTGCTGCTGCCAGCTGAGCTGCACCAGCAACACTTTCTAGCTCTCCACTTTGTGAGCACACAGACATGAAGCACACTTGTTAAAAGATTGACAAGACAGAAAAAAAGAATGTAACCCTCACTGGCTATGCACTGAAACACATGCACTTCCAACAAAGGGTGCAGCAGGTGACCATGGGGATCTGAGCACCCCGGCTTGCCCTTGCCAGCTCACCTGCCTCCCCATGGGACTAGGGCACACGTGATCCAACTGGTGGTGACGCCTGCCCGGCAAGGGAAGGCATGACCCAACGTTTTTTATCACCTGGGCGAGCTTCAAGCCTACAACAGGGGGACGGACCCAGGGGCACAGGGTATGGCCACCAGGCTGGGCACCAGGGGACGTGTCCCTAGGCAGGGCCATCCTTGGAGGAGGTGG